GCAAAACAAGATAGAATTCAAAATGAATATATACGAGGGAATTTAGGTGTGGCTTTAATGCGCGATAGATGAAAAGTATCAAGGGCTAGTATTGGCTCACTTAAAAATGTCTCACCACCTCAAGGCTATAAATAGCCTCGCTCACCCCATTCTCTACACATTTATAAGCTATTGTAAAGAGAGAATTGTCGTCCTTGAGCCTCTTTCCCTTTTTCTAGTGAAGCTCCTTGTAATGATGATGGTACATGTCAAATCTTATGGTGTCTAGTTCTACCCCTTCAAGGTAATCACCCCATCAACTCTCTTTCATTTTCCAAGCTTTATCCTTTTTATTTTCTTGTTGTAATTCATCATTTACCGCAACATTCTAATCCTATTTCATTAAGCTCTCGTGACCCATTATACTCCTCATACCATGCATGTATACTTTGTAGTATATATTGTGTAATCAGCACCTTCTATCACTAGACAATATCTACCTTTTTGTTTCTTATGAGATGATTTTCTAGGCTTCATCAAACCGTTTTGGGCTTCAAAATTACATCTCTCTCTCTCTCATTTTGAACAATACAAAGTTGAGAATTAATGATTTCAAGTTTTCTATTGGTGTGAGTGAGTGTGCCCTTGAGTTTATGTCATTTGTGCTTTCATCTACAAGACAACAATAAGTCTTTAAAAGATCTGATTTGTGATCCAAGCATTAAGGGTTCAATTGTTAACTTCTTTTTTTCCTTTTGAAACCCTATTTACTACGGTTTTGAGTTCATAACAGTTGTGAGTCATTGAGCTTTGAATTTGTGTTGTCAATAATGTGTATTTGATGATAGCAAAGTTACATGTGCAGTCTATGTAAGTATGCTTGCATAAAGTGACATTGTTTGAGCTTTATGTTCCAACTATTAGATATTGTGCTGAGGACTCTATTGAGTTGTAATTTGAGTTTTTCAAGTTATATTAGATTCAAAAGTTAGTTGGATTTTGTGTCTAACAGTTGTGAAAGTGTATTTGCACTTGCATGTGCATGTATTGGTTATAAACTTTTAAACTACATTCACAATTCACAAGTCAAGTATTGTATACAATAGCATCCTACCGTCTATATCACTTCAAAAGTATATCTGCATAGCATAAAAGGACTATGAGGGATCACCTAAGCTCAAGAGCAAAGAATCAAAATGTTGTTGCAAATGATGAATTACAGCAGCGGAATAAGAAGGATAAAGCTTAGAAAAGAAAGGAAATGGATGAGGTGATTACCTTAGAAGACAAGAGTTAGACACCTGGGAGCTATGTGTAAATGATCATCATGATCAAGGGAGCTTCACCAACACAAGGAATGGATGAGGTGATTACCTTAGAAGACAAGAGCTAGACACCTTGGAGCTATGTGTAAATGATCATCATGATCAAGGGAGCTTCACCAACACAAGGAGCAAGAGGGCTTAAGAACCAAAATAAGCACTCAAGGGGCATGGCAATGTCTCTGCCTCTTCTCTCTCTCTTTCTCATAATGCTCGTGTGTTTTGAATGGAAGGTGAGCATGGATATTTATAGATTTGAAGTGGTATGACATCATGAGTAAGTCAATCCTAGCCCTAGATACTTTTCATCTATGCCACATGAGAAGGCTTGATCCTCGCCACATATCCATGTTTAGCCATCACGATCAATGGATGTGATTTGTACATCATTATCACTCCATTAAAACCTAGATTAAACTATTTTCCCAAATTGTCCTCGTCCCATATAAAGTTTCCACATATGCCCTTTAAGCATTCTATAATTGACCATAAAACTTGATGAAAATAATAAAACATCATAAAGGTAAGGGCATGCAACTAAGATAATATCCCATATATTGATCAATCATAATGTGTCATTCCATAACTTCATATGAGTTTAGCCAATGGGACAATGTCTTACAAAAAGCCACATTTTTCATTTTCTCTCATGGATTAGGTTTTCATCCAAAATATTATACTTAGCCTCAACCCTAGGTACATGTTATCCAATACTAATGTGTGCCAAATTTCCACATGACAAAATAATATGACTTAGGCCATAAAATAAACTTTTATTAAAAACTGAACAAAACACATAATTCCACAAGAAGACATGGCCCCTTGTATTTGACGTGATGATGACGCCAGCAACAAGGTGGCCCCCTAGGATGCCACAGCCACTACTTGGGTGCCACGTGGACACCCCCACTAACTGCCCCGTGGTAGAATTAACCCCAAGCAATTTTGAAAATAACATTTTTTTTTGCTCCAAAACAATTTTTGAAAAATTCTAAAAAATTCTCAAAAACTTTCCAAATGATTATCCACCATAAATACACATTTTCTCATCAAAACAAAATGAGACAAATAGTAAATGAGATCTTTAGGCTTAAATCTAAGTATCGGAGTACTCTACTGCGTTAGTTTGAAACAACAGTCCACTTATCTCGGAATGACCTAATAAACCTATGCTCCACAAGAGGGCATAATTCAACCTCGTCAAAGTAATTCCAATCAAGCTTTCGTCACCCGGTTCTCAGTGGATTACATGTACACCTTTGTGGGATATAAAAGTGCTCACATACAAAAATCTTCTCAAAACACATGTGCACTAGCTCTTCTTAGTAAACTCATACATTAAAAGAATGGCTTCTCGTGCAACTTTGACGACACATTCTACAATATAGTCTCATGTAAAGGTATGGACTCATCTCCCGTGAATCATGACTATCCTATACATAGTTGTTACTCAAAGGGTACTCGGGTTCTATTCCCTCTTTTTGGTTTTTCTAGCCCTAGCCAAACACACCAGCCATGAGGCACACTCATAACCATAGCTATGACTCGAAGGTGACCCCCACAGCTCTGCAAGAGATCTCTCTCTCATCGAAATCACTCGTTGCCTCTTGTACTCGAGATATATGATTCTGGGCCCCAATGCACAAAGCATCCAAAATCATCCTCTCTCACTCCCACAGAGCGAGAGAATCTTAACTTTAAGGCCTTGAAAAGCCATAAATCCAACATTCGCCCACTTGGCATTTTGAGGCCTTATAAGTGATTCTCTCTCTCATTCTCATGCATACTAATACATGCTAAAGCATACTTATAATCAATATCACACAAGCATACTCATATCATGCAAGGGATGGCTCTAAACTCAAGGGCTTACTCACACTAAAGGGAAGCTCAAGGCCATTAATACACCACTTAATTTTACTCAAATCAAAGAGAGATGAATTTTTGAAGCCTATATCGGTTTGGTGAAGCTACGAAAAACAGCTCATAAGAATCACAACTATATAGCAATGTAGTGAAGTATATTGTGGCAAATCCTCGAATACTTGTCTCCAACCCCAAGGTCCAATTGGCATCAAATGATCAATGTTTCTTGGACCACAATAAGGACTACATAGATCAAATATTGATGCACTATGTATCTGCTTAGAAATATACTTAAACCAATTCCAAATACCTGAGCTTAAGATTAATGCTCCATGTGCTTCGGTGAACAATATAGTAATACACGATTTACAAGAGAAGAAATCTTCTTTGAGGGTCTACTATCACAGTGATTAGTAGATGCCGAGGTTGAATTTATATATATAGAGAGAGAGAGAGAGAGAGAGAAATGATCCTGTGAGCCAGTGGGCTCACAAGTAAAAATGACTCCAACGGCCCAAATTGAATCTGGACCGATCTGACGATCACGTATACTCGATAGTGATTGAATTTTATTTTTTTTCTACTAAAT